GTATGAAGTTGCTGAAGAGTTTAAAAGGCTATGTCCAGACCATTGTATGTAATTGGTGGGAAGTCTGGATACAGATTGTTAAACTTTTGGAAACTTCATGCTAACTGCAGGTCCACACCATCAAAATAAATTGAATTTGCTTCTCTTATTTAACACCATGCATCATCACTAAAAGAATAAATAAGACACATTCTATACATAAGTTACCTTTAATATATATAATTTGAATATGAATTATCTTTATTTTCTTAACCACATGTTATAGAAGTCATTTTTCAGTTGTTAAATTAGAAATAAATCTATGAAACAGGTTTAAACTTAAGTACTTTCATTGATTTTCTTTCTAAATACAATCATATTTAATCATTTATCTTTACTATCATATATTATCATTATCACTATATAAAAATATTTCTGAATAATAATAATAATAAATTATTTTTGAAATTTCTTTCCTTTATATTTGTTTATATTATAGAAATGATAACACAGTCATTAGTTCACATTATAAATATAGGTTAAATTTTAAAATATCATTTATTTAAAAGAGATTTTAACTAAAAATAAAACTTACCAACATGCTTTTTACCAACTATATAGTTAAAAAATATATTAAAATATGATTTTGAAATGTTAATAATTCCAAAAATGTTTTCTTTTTAAATACAAGAATAACTTCTATTTGAATGAATATGGAATGTTATGATTATTGAAGTTGATACATGAAAATATTTTCACTACAATGAAAGCTATTTACAGATTGTTTATTAATTAGGTGTATAGTTTTTGAGCCATATTTGGCCCTTTTCATCTCTTCATTGTATTCAATGATGTACAGTACTTTTGGCAAACAACCCCTTTAATTTATGTTCTCTATAATAGTTCATGAACCCCTCCTGACATTGAAGAAATGTGCAGAATTTTTTAAACTGAGTTTATTCGCATTACTAGTAAGTATAATTATAAGAACAAATTCTTATGCCACTAATACTACTAAAAAGGTCCACAAAGACAATGCCTTGACTCCTTCCCTTCCCATCGTATGCAATGATGTACTGTATTTTATGATTCCCCCTCCCATAAACTGTACACATAATTAATGAATGGCTCCTTATTTGCAGAACATCAGTTTCATACTAACATTTATTTATATCAAATATTTATGAATACATTAATTCTTTATCATCATCCTTAATTTAATATTTTTATATACAAAAATATAGATGAAACTATGAATATATATATATATATATACACATAATGTATTTAATTTCTCAAAGTTATGTTTTTAAAAACAACTTTCTTGTTTCTCTCTCTCTCTGCTCAATATTAGCTAAATATTTTTATTATTTCTTCAAACAGTATTTTTGTTTGCAATTTTCCCAAACTTAAATATTCTGTAGAAATCTATACCATACATTTTAAAGTTTTCTAAATGTTTATTTATTGTTTAAACTTATTATAATAAATTAAAAATTAATTTTAAAGCAAAACTATATATTTTTTTAAATTTCAATTTTTATGATATTTCATTTCTTGTAAATACAAGTAGATAAAAAAAAATAATAATAATAATTAAATATTGAATATTTTATTAATTTTATTATAATAAATAAAGATGTTTGCTAGAACAAAAAAGAAGTTATTATCTTTCTCTTAATGAAATTATATTTAAAAAAAAATGTTTTTTACTTGAAGTAATACAACAAATAATAATTTATCATCATTAGTTGAATAACAGTTTGTATTTTTTTTATATATATAGTACATTTGAAATTCTAAGTAACTTTTTCTTTTAAAATAAAATAAATCTTTCATTAATTTAGAAATTTATTTAAATTCAACTATTTACACATTAATCCTGATAGACAATGAATAAGTTGACTCAGTTAGTTGTTTGAAAGGGATTAGCTACCAAATTAAAATTCTAATTCAAAGATTAAAGTATTGTAATTGCATCAAGAATTTTAATGTAAATATTTCCACTTGTTAGATTGATTTCAAGTTTTTCATGATTTGGAGATTTTTCATGGCTTAATTTATAAATCAAAGCATTAAAAATTTCATCAACAATATAAGTATTTCCTTTTTTTTTTTAAATTGTATGAATTCATTAAAGAATATTTTATGAATAAATCATTTCTTGTAATAAAATAAACAATGAAAATACCAAAGATATAATTGTAGAAATATCAACAGCTTACTGCGATAATTTTTCTTTTTATCTCAAATCATTTAACTGATGATTTAACATTTTTACACATTTTCTATTAATGCTTTCTATTCAATTTATTATAAATGACATCATTAAATTCTAGAATGTTGGACATCAAATAAGTATGAAACAGATTAATTTAGGTTAAATATGTCTATAATCATTTTAAAGATTAAAAAAAATGCACTGAAAGTTTAAAAAACAAAAAAATGTCATAAAAAATAAAGTAAAAAGGTGAATTAAAAATACTTTAAATTTATTATCCAAATGCTATCACAATACATTTTCAACGATAGAGTGAAAATCCAATGAAAGTAGGTCAGGATAAATTGGATTAGATCAAACAACAGTGGTAATAGACAAGCCATATAACAAGAGTCAGTATCCCAAATCCTAAAAATACTATCCGAAAATATGCTTTCTACCGCGTTACTAAAATATTGATAAAGGTAGGTATAAAAAAAGGTTAAGTCAGGAGTAATTGTGCAGAGGTTTATTTGTGCTTGGTTAGGAGAGGATAGATTATATATTGATTTGATTAACTTGATTTTTTATATTATCCATATTAATGTCTTCAAAATTATTTGATGAGAATAATTAAAGAAGAATACAAATCACCTAGTTTTAAATGGGTAATATTTTTTGAAGTCATTATCAGAAAATTAAGGTTGTCTATTTTTATATTACACTGATTTATCACAAAATTAATTTTGAAATTTAATCAATAATGTTTTTATTAATATAATTTATGATTGCAATAAAGTTTATTTCTTTGTTAGATTCATTAATAGAATTAATGAGATTTTTATGTATTTTAATCACAAAAAAAATTCAACTTTGAAAAAAATCAATAAATTTGGTAAAACCATTGCACAGTTTCTGGATGATATGATGAAATTTTCTACTCTATCATAATTATATGCCAAATGTATATATGTATATATATATATCCTTAATGATAGATAGGAACCTGCAGCTATGCAGTCGATATATTGACTTATAGCATATTAAAGATCAAGAATAACATCCTGATAAATTAATGCATGAATACAGAGACATATAGACTTCTTTTACATTATGTAGGTTTCAAAAGTCCTTTATATAAAACTACCACCAAAAGTAGCATAAATATTTAATGAATAATAATTCTAATACTTGGGGAAAAAAATGCAATTTTAGAAATAATTTCTCTTTTTGTTATCTGTTTTTCCAAGAAAGAAAATAAACAATGAACAGTAGTTAAATTAAACAAACATGATGATAAAAAGATTCTTGGCATGAAATTTATGATTTTAAAATCTTTATAAATATAAAAAAAATAGCACAATTATTGCATTTTAAATTGCATAAAAATCAATAAAATAACAATGTCTATTAAAACAGAAATTAAACTTAGCAATAAAGATGTTTTTAAATTTAAAAAGTAATTACACAAATCTAACCAATCAGATTTACATTCTCCATAATTTTATTCCAATTACAATGATCACGTGCTTCTTAGTTAACCAATGAATTCTGATTATGTATTCAAAGTAAAAAAATAACAGCCTTCTGTAGTCATTTGGGCTAAATTTATATATCTAGAATAGGCAAAAAAAAAGTTTTGCATTTTATTTTAATATAATTTTCGATCAGGGGAAAATTGTCATGTGACATTTTCCAATTATGTCAGGCTGCCTAACCTTTTTTTTTTAAAAAAAAATTAATATATTTTTTACTTCCTTCGTAAGTCGTTTCATTAAACTGAGATATTAAAAAATGCACACAGACATTTCCATTAAAAATTTAAAACTAAGGAAAAAAAGATTATTTTTAGATCAAACTACAAATAATAGGAATTTCCATTCACATAGATAGGGAGTTATTGCCATGAATCAATGTTTTTTGTTTGGCTAGATTTAAACTGAATATATTAAAACGAATAATGATTTTTAACTTATAAAAAAAAATGAATATAATTTATAAAATGACAAATTTATAAATATTGCGTCATTTTCTTCCCCAAATCCGACCGCCATCATAATTTTAAAATGCGTCAAACGCGTCATTTGACATTAACCAATCACCCTTCTTATAGCGATTCGAAATTTTGAAACAATTTACGTCAAGAAACTTCTAGCCAATCGATGATTAATTCTATAGATTTTTTTTATATTACGCAATAATGAGGTCACTTACAGCCAGCCAATCAATACGTTTAATTTTTAAATATTATAATTGACACATTTCGTAGGCGAGTAAATCGTGCCTCTTCAAAATTACTTACGTTTGAATGGAAACTTACTAAATTTAGCAAACGTACATAAATTGTATTTAATAACTGAAATTTATAAAATGATAAAATTATGGCATGGTATTTTCTTTACGAATCTGAAAATTCAGTTTAAAAAAAAATCAAACTATAATAATAATTTAAATTTTAAATACGTCAACATACGTCGCTTCATACTATTCGATGATTTTATATCACACATCACTCAGTTTCCAACCAATTAAAGATGAACCAACAAAATTTAAATTAAACACTAATGAGATCGAAAGCAAACACCAACCAATTTTTTTAAGAATTAAATAATAATATAATGATTGAAGGATTTATTTATTTTAATTCAAAATTATTCGTATCTGAAATTAATAAAGTTTATAAATTATATTAAATAATCAATTCGAGTTATATATATATATATTTTTTTTCTCATAGAATATCTGAAGTGGTGTGCAAGAACAACGAAGACAACCATCATAAACATCCACACGATCACACATGCAAAAGATAAATAGGTACCGTGGAAGTCGTTGTGCTCTGTGAAGGGGCGTTTCGTTCAGGCAAGATGGTGCTGACGTTTCCTCCTGCAGTGGCACTACCATGAAAACCGTTTCCTATTGTTGTTTCTCGGAGCTCCCTCCCATTCCGAGCATCACGTTGGGCACTGTGCGTCGTCAGACTCATAGGTGAGTGATTATCTGAGTGCTAGAAGACCAAGAAAGAAAAAAAAAGTAGGAGGAACGAAAAAACAGATAACACATTTCCAAATACCATGGGTAATTTAACACAAACTTTTTTTAAGTGCTTAATTATCACTGTACCACATAACCGAAACATTTTTATATGTCCTAAAAAAATGTTTCTAATCAAAATGAAATTTTAAAAACGTATAAAAATCTTTTAAAAATCTCTATTACGAAAAACAAAATATCAAAGGGATGCAGATGAATTAAAAGGGGCTGACTTTTAGGAGAATTATTATTATCTTTTTGACAGCTGATAAACAGGAAGGACGACCTGAAAGTCAGTTTTTGGAAGTTTTTTTTTTTTTATATGGACAATAGACGACCAACGACACCACATGCACAACAGGTTGTGGGATTGCTTTTTTTTTAATAAGTATTAAAGGAAATCACCTGTAAATTGTTGATGGCCTCTGTGCGCGCAATGTCCTCTTCACATCCGGACATACTGGTAATGCAGGTATCTGCGGAGGGCACGTGGCTTTGCCGGTCGCACGTTATCTCAACCATTGTAGAATTAGGAGGCTTTAGATCTCCCGAAGAAGAAGGATAGCCAGTTGTTGGAGAGACATTTCCGCTCGGCAATCCGCCATTGCTCTTCGTTGCATCCAGAAGTACCCGAAGAGAGGCTATTGCGTGCAGTTGTGAAGCTTTGTCGTCTAATTTACCTAATAGAAAAAGTTTCTTCTGCATCATCAATAATCATAACGATCGCATTGTTAAAGGAGCGCAGTGCTACAAAGCTAATGTTCTTGTTTATTTTCTTTTTAACTGGATTTTGCTCAGAATTTTTCTATAAGCTTTAACTAAATAGCCAACTTAATGCGAAATTACTTTTGAAGACAATTTTGGCGTTTTAATATTCTTCTTTTGATAGGCGAAAAGCATTGTGTAGTATCAAATTTTGTCTTGGCGTGCTTGAAACGTCTGAAAATTCCATTATTTTTTTTTTAAATTTAAATACGGTACATTATAAAAACATTTCGCTAAAAAATATCAAATTTTTTTCAGGTTTTCTCGTGAGGATCGTGTGCTAAAATAGCGCATATTCGATTTTTCTTAATGTATTGTAAAAGAGTGGTTTTCAAAATAAATTTTTCCAATTTTAGATAAACAATTTGATAGATATAAACATCCTATCTTTTCCACATACTTTGAGAATCTATTATTGAAAAGCACCGGCGTATTTGCACTAGCAATACGATGTTTGTCAAGTCAACAGCATACGACAAGTTACAACACACAAAGCAGTCCTCCTACCCTCTTGATGTTACAAATGAACGAATTCTATTTTAGTTTACCCACGAGACGTCTATTATTCAAACATTAAGATATTATAATTGCTGTAGCTAATAATTATCGACCTGAATCAACATGGTTGCGTAATGTATTGCTTTGGCAAAAGAATCGTCACGCAAAGTTAATAAGAAGCGGAAGTTCCGCACGCTATAATACTTAATTCTTTTTATCTTTTATTTTTTTTAAATATTTTAAACTAAACCTTGTTACCTAAATGTTAATTAAGGTTATTTAACATATATAAAGATTTATAGGTTAAAAAGAAGAAATATGTAGAACAAATGTTTTCATTAAAAATATATATTTTTTAATATCACATCCGAAAGTGACCCATTTTTTTTTAAATTAATGGGTTATCTTTTTATTTTTACAATAAAACCCGAAACAGTAATGATACAGCTGCCATGCAACTTAAGTAAACAGCCTTTCTATCGTAAAAAAACCGACAAAATGCAATTTTAGAGTTCGAAAACTCACAAAATAAACTATTTTAAAAATAAAAAAATCAATCTTTAATCACGATTACTCAATACTCTACCCATTTAGAAAATATTTAAAATAGTTTACATGCAACTTGTCGTGCAAACAAGACACGATAATACACAACGTAATATATCTATATAGAAATTAGATATTTTATTTTTTTTTTACCGTATTGAAAAATATTTTAGAGTATAGAAACACAACAATTCAAGACAAAAAAGCGACAAAGTATAAAAAAAATGATTATTCTGTACGTTAATTTACGTATAGATCTCCATAACCATGCAAAAAACTTCGCATTTTTATAGAATGAAGACACTTATATACATAAGACAATAATTGAGAACATGCAAAGAACAAAATTTGGCAAAGAGAAAAATTCCATTAAGCAACATGCATCATAACAGAGAACCTATACATTTCTGAGTATAAAAAAATGTGGAAGAAAGTAAAAAAGGAATTTATTATCCTTTATTTAAAAATCGTACCTTCGTGAAGTGGATCAATGGAATGTATCATCAGTTGGAGCAATCCGTGACGGAATTTACTGCCACCGTGCAGAAGTGGAGTACTCATACGTCTCTTCATCATCTAGAAAGAAGAAACATCGACCATGTACTGCAATGATTTAAGCCATAACACAAAAATCCCTTCCCAAAAAATTAAGTATAAATGTCTTTTGTTTGTTTGTTTTTTTTTTTTTAATAAAGTAGCCCTCCAAATACCATCATCAATCAGAGTCGGATGAAAGTAAAGTTACTAATTGTATCAGCACCAACTGCCTATAGTTCAGTGCTCCCGAAATTAAAGCTGGCAAATGAAATGTCTCGATTGATTAGGACTTTATGGCGATGCGATTAAAGAACTCGAAATTTTATTGATGTAGTTAACGAAGCAAAACAGTAATGCACTGAAACGATACGGAGAGATACCTTAATTATTTAATTTATATACTTTTCCAACTAGAATCATTGAAAGAAAAGGATGAGAAATAGTTTATTCAACTTCAAGAAAACTGAACTACTGGAAGATTGATAAAACCCTGCCACCAGTCTATAAAACTATACACCCTGCGTTTAAACACCAGCCGTTCTTTCTCTAAAGTTCAATTCGAATTTTAAGCATTAATAATAATAATCAAACCCACACGCCCTAATGAAGGAAAAAAAAGTAGATTAAAAAACGAACTTTAATCTAATAGATCGCAATTTTTAATTCAAAGCATAATAAAACGAGAACCATTTTGGCATGTTCGGTCGTAAACTCCATAAGAAATTAAAGTATAAAAAATTTGAACATTTTGGAGTTCGGACGGGCCCATTTTTATCATCCAAACCCGCCCAAAATCGAACCATCTTCCGATATTCGTGCCAAGAACTATAATTATGATGATGGATCAAAATCTTGGCATACTCCATTTTGGACAATACAGAGAAGAAAATCGATTTTTTCCTCTTGGAAAATTGCCCAAAAGGAAACAGAAAGGGGGATAAGACGTTCACTTAATGGAATTTATCTTGATATTCGTGAAAAAGTGATAAACGCTGTAGAAAACAAAAATGAAAAATCAACGAGATAAATTGATATCTGTTGCGAGAGCCAGAGAGTTGTTAACAATTATCACTTTTCTTCCCGGAAAATACAGAAAAAAAAATTTAAAAATTAATCTATACATTAGATAACCATTTCGGCATATAAAACATATTTTTTTAAAAGTTTGTTGAATCAACGTTTGGCATCGGAAACTGCATAGAGTGCAACGTTCCATTATCAGCAACGTCGGGATTAGCTGCAGCTGCGGGACAGGTGAAAGCGAAAATGCATTTCCGACTGCAGTTATATAAAGTAGACATAAGCGTTAACATAATATCAGGTCAAAAAATGAGCGATCGATGTGAAATAATCAATAAAGGATCATCTCTTCTTATGAAAGAGTAGCCGTTGATTTACCCTTTTTTTTTTTTAATCTCCAGATGCTCTTATCCTCCGCCAACATAAAAATATACTTACGTATTAATTAATTATGTAAGTCCAGATATTGTTAAAGATCGTAAATTATAACTCACCGAGGGGTTAATGAATATTTCATGGATGAGTTCGCCTTTAACAAACTCCAAACTGCTCTTATGCTCGAGAAAGAAAACGATTAAATCGTTACACTCTGATGAGAAGACAGAAAGCGCAATGAAAACTTCCAATTAATTGAAATGTTAGCTTGTTTCTCTTTGAAATTTTTCAAAAAATCGAGAATAAATTATTGTAAAGTAATTTAATATCAATTCTTGTATTTACTAAGCTTTATTAGTCGTAAGTGTCTTATTTTTGCTTTGTAAAATAGTAAAATGCATTCACTAACATTGTAAAATGTTTATATTTTTATTACTGAATCATTTTATATTTCTTTTTTCGGTAACAAATTTTCTTTTTAACAAAATAACTTTCCATTATTTTTAAAAATTAATTTTTAAAACGTATTCTATTTACATTTTTTAAAACTATTTTCTTTCTATTCGGATTAAATAAATGAATTAAATTATTTTATTTTCATTTAAAAATTGATTTAAAATTTTCTATGAGTAAGAAAAGATATTTGTTTAATTTTTCTTAGACGTGAAGAATTCGAGAGAAAAAAAAATTGTAAGTTTTTAATGTATTTATTTTATTTTCTATTGTTATCTTCCGTTCTAAAATTTTTCACTTTATTAGTAATTTTTACACATTTTTCCTGTAAAAATTCACCATTTCAGTAAGAAATTTTATGGGTAAATTTAAAGAATTTCAAAAGAACATTTTTTAAAAATTGATTCTATAAGAAACTTTATTTTATTCTTGAAAAATCTTCTGTTTTATATATTATTTCTTTAAATAGTTTTTCTTCTTTGAATATTCTTCACTTTCCTCAAATCTCCTTTCTGAAGATTCCCTATTCCTCTAAATGTCTTTACTTCAAATAAAATACGCCATTTTCTTTAAAAGTATTTTTGTTTTCTTAAAATTCCCTATTTTCCTCGTTTTTTTTAAAAGATTCCTTTCAACCGTATCCATATATAAGTACAGCACCTCTCTAACTTCGCTTCACAAAACCTATTTCTTCTTCCACTTTTGGGGAGGAGAAAAACGTGAAATATTCTTCTTTTTTTCCCTTTACAAAACTCGAACCGTATCAAATTATAGGCCGTTGTGTCGTCATAAGTTAAATTGGCAGGACAGAAAGAAGCGCATTAGTACCGATAAGAGCCCACTAACCCAAATCCCAATGCATATAATATTCTAATGGGAGTCGTTGAAAACTTTATCGTGTTCGAACATAAGAGTAAAAAGGGAACAAAGCAACACGAATGCTCCATCAATTTTACACGAGTGTATTCATTCGATAAGAAGATTGATCGCCATCTTCCCTAGATAAGTAGATCCATAGCATTGGGCGGAGTCGAATACACTTCTAAGGAAATTCTAGTTATAAATACACGTCTTCTGCCTTAGTTTTATAAGAAACTTCAACTCCGCATACAAAATACAAGAATGGCGAAGTTTAGGATTGAATTAAGGATAAGGAAAAACGTTAAATTGATCGCACAAACGAAGAAAGGTCACCTTGTTTTGAACTGCACACACTTCGAGATCGATACGGAAATCAATGGCAATTGACTTCGCTTCTCTATTAAAACCCCCCTTTTTTCATTTAACTTAAGGACATTCCCTAATATATAAAATTATCTAGATAAATAATATATAAATAGATCGATCTCGTTCGAACATTTCTGTAATTTTCTCCGATTTTCAAACTGATAAAGAAGATGGGAAAAGAAGTTTCTTTTGCAGACACGATCGATCTTCGATCATATTATATAATTGTCATCTTTATATAGGCAAAGTTTACAAGTAACTAACCTAATAAAATACTCACAATTCAATCAAACCGTTTTCACTTTACTCACAGAATATTTATTATATTACTCTAAGAGAATATCTCTCTCCTATAGTGGCGTTGAAGAAAGATTAAATATTAACGTTAACACCTAATTTATACGAATTTAATAAGTGTTGGCGAACGTATAGAAAACGTAATAAGCCAATTTAATTAAATAAAATTAATTTAGGAACGAATAAAATATTTAAAAACTTCATTCTCGTTGGAATTTGTCATAGTTACGTATTATGCACAGATGGATGCATTGTGAGAAACTTTGCCATATGACACGATTTTTCTTGCAAATTCAAATCGATTGAATATATATATAAAAATGTTCTTAACTTTCAATACAAAATACGCTAGTCGATCGAACATTCATCAAAAAATATGTAACGTAAGCCTGTTTCTATAGGTTTACCAAGCTATAGTATTACACATTTTCAAAAGTGTCGTATTTATCGATAAGATTCTTCTTTCTTTTTTTTTAATTTTAGTGTTTTCTATCGAAAATCTAATTACGTTTTCTACGTTCTGATCGTTACTTTTTCTAAATATGCCAAAGCATTATTCAAGAAATAGACATTTATGCACTCGTGACACACACTCGTCAAGGTCGCTAATCGATTCTTTCGATCTACGAGACCCTAACACGTGATATGTATCGGGCCCAGATGATTTAAATGAAGTAATGATATGCTACCTGTACGTGAGAATTGTGGGTGGAGTCGGAAAACATAATTTCTCCATTTTTTTGTATTCAATGACGTGATAGAAACTGATTTGATTTGATCTTTTACTGTTCTGTGATCGAGGAAATAAAACCGCCAACAGAAGCCATTACACTGCTCTAGAGATGAAGGGGTGCGCGTAGGTGATAGGGATTTTTTGCTCTAGAAGCGGGGGAAATATATTAGTTGGATGAGGATAATTGATGCTACTTCTTTAAGGATAATGTGCTAATCCTGTAAAAGAACTAGTAATTTTTTCCTCCTTTTTTTCTGTACTAGTAGGAAGGGTGGTGCATTTAGAAGATAGGATAGATATAGGGAAGGATAAGGGACGGCTAATGCATATTTGTTTATAGATACTAGAGAATAAGTTATTCAATTAGAGTAAATGAAGACTATAGGATATGTAATTTAACTATATAAAATGATACACTAAGTTATAAAGAAAATGAAGTAAAATTTGTTTAGCAGAACAAATAATGATTTAACTACATGAAGGAGAGGGGAGTTTACACTAGAGAGTTACACAATTCATTCTAGCAGAAAGGATAATATCTAGATGAAAGAAAAAAAAGATGGTTATTATCTAGAGAGGATAATTAAACAGATAAACATATTTTCAAAAGATGATATTAGAAAATACAGGTGTATTTATATAAGAAGAGTAATATTTAATTGATAAAAAAAATGTGCAGAAAATAATCATGCTGAGTTGAAAATGTTTGGATAAAATAGTAATATCAATCAATTCATTTAAAATATTAACAATGTAGTCAATAGTCTTCATTAAAGTCAGAAGTACTTTATATTAATTAAGACATAATAATGTTCAATACAGTATTGTATACATATATAAATAAAGTACAGTTTTAGTAAATTTTAACGTTCATTTTTAAAATAATAATAGAGAAGAGGCAGATAATATGAATATAATATGATATTTTTGACATAAGAGCTGGAATATTCTCTAGATAAGAGTAAATAAAAAAATTCGATTAAAGATTGATAGTTTAACAAGTGTAATATTACAGTAAACTGAACGTGTAAGGAATCCAAATTTTCTTCCTCTTTAAGGTATTTAATGTTTATACAACAGAAGGTAAAATTAAAGATATCAAAATGAAATTTGATATTCTACAGAAAATATATAAAATAATCTGTTGATTTTATATGGATAATGCACTATTTGTTGTAGAATAATGGATATTTACTTAGTGGAGAAAGTAAATGTGTGTTTACTTTAGGAGCGATAGTAACATATATTGCACAGAAAAATGAAAGATGCTTTTAAGAAACAAAAAAGATAAGAAAGACTTAACCATAAGATATGACGTAGCTGATCATTTGGAGAAGCAGTATCTTATTCACCTTAAGGCCAGAGTCATAAATTAGATTTGAAAACCGGATCTATATCCATAAATGGTTTAATTCTTACCGCGCGGATCAATAATTAAAGCAAATATCTTGCAAACGAGATTAGCTTAATTTATGGTTTATGGGGAACAATAAGTTATGTTTCAGTTCTTCTAAATGCAAATGATTGAACCGCTCCGAACTGCCGACTTCGAATTCTATAAAATCAGCGAAAATAAGAGGCGGAGTTCTTTTACACTCAAAGGATTCGAGAAACTGAAACATGTGAATAAATTGAAAGTTAAAGAAGGACAATTTAATCATACAATGAAGCTTCTTATATGGAATTCCCTATGTGAAATGAAGCAATATGCAAATTAAAAATTAAAGCTTGATACTAAATGAATGTATGTTAAAACTTAAATGATAAAAGAAACATAAAAAATATAGTGCGAAAAGTAATAAGAAAATTCATACTCACACTGGGCATCAGCTGATCCGTGCTGCCAACTCTGGTCACCCTGTTCCTATTCAATAATTTCTTCACCATCATCTCTAGTCGTGAATTAAATTTCATAAAAGTAACGTATACTATATAACACGATAACAGTATGGTTGCTTCGTACCAATGAATGACATTATCTTTGAAGCAAACCATTAATATAATGAGAATGATAGAGTAGAATGAGACGTCTCGGAACAGGGGCCACCAGGTAAGTTGCAGGACGGTCTTGCTGAAGATAGCACACATAGAGATGACGAAGAGCAGATTGAAAACAGCTGATCCGACTATAGTACCGATTCCCACATCGTCGTACGATATAAACACTCCAATAATGCTGGTGAAAAGTTCTGGAGCGCTTCCTCCCGCGGCCATAAACGTAGCACCGGCCACATCTTCGGAAATGGCCAAACTTTCTGTTATAACGTCCAGTGCTGGGATGAAGAATTCATCGCAGACAACGGCCAGTGCCACGAACATGTAAGCTAAACCCAAAACGTGCAAAATTATTGCACCATGTTTTCGCTCATCTTTGGTAAATAAATCGTTTGGGAACTGCGCCGAAGAACCGTTATCTTCTTTTTGGTGTAGTAACTTCCTCATAATTGCACTGTTATCCATCATTGGTTTCCTGTCTCTCGTTGGTTGAATGTAAGAAAATAAGACCACAACAAATAGTCCCGAAAAAAATACTAAAACTGGATTTCTCCATCTCTTACGATAACGTCGAGTGGAACTCATCTTGCTTTACTTAAATTATTATTATTTTTCTTCTAGAGTGCGTAGATTGTCTTCAATTTATGGTGCTTTCACTTCTTTGGTCACGTGGTACGGGTTAATTTTGTGGATACCCGAGTCCGGGATGAGGTTAAGTGTGGAGAGACAAACGTGAACTGTACTCTACGCTGAAGCATGTTCTAAGCAGTGATTAATCTTGGATGTGGTGCTCAAGCTGCAAGAGAAAACGAAAAAGGAAATGATTATCATCTTCACCTTCTTTATAGACGACTATAAAATTTTCCTTTTTAAAAAATCGCTAAAAAAAATCTAAATTCTTCTATCAGTTAAGATAATAAACGAAATCTCTTTACCAGTAAACTAAAAAGTAAGTTAATGTGGGAAATAACATCAGATAAATTGTTGTACGAGCCAAGAAACTATCAGAAATCTCTTAATAGCTGAATCACCTATCAAAACGCAAACAAATACTTATTCACTTGGAAAACAAAAATATCAAAGGTCAACTCCTTACAATGATGATGATAATCCGATTAGACAAACAAACATTAAAACGAAAATTAGTTTAAACGTGGGGAATCATTTTTTTAAACAATTTTCCCTGTTTAATAAACGTGCCAACTAAAGGAAGGGAAAAAAATCAAAATAACAATAAAAACGATATTAACTAACCGGAAAAGAGCAGAGAATTGATATATTACGAAAAGCTTCCATAGTAAGAGATTAAAATCTCCAAAGATGAAAACAAAAATCTATTAAAACTTTGAGTAGGAGAAAAATCAAAAGGCTCCAATTGTGGATATAAATAAATATATATAGGCCTATACATATCGAGTAAAGCGGAATATATACATATACATATTTATATATTTTTTTTAACAGAATATCTTGTTTTTGACTTTCACATTTAGAATGAGGAGGAACTTACCGATCTTCTCCTTGTGAAAGAGCAGTTCTGCGCTTTGGCGTCAGATGTGGTGCACCAAATCGATTCGTCCAATGGTGGTGAGGAGGGAAGGCGAGATCCAACCCCCTTTACCCATTCGATCGTTAACTTGGTCGTCTTTAAACTTCTCCCGACTGTTTAGAAGATTTTGATTTTACTTTTGGATTTTGGCAGATCTCATATGATCGATATTACCATTGTTTATCTGCTTCGATCGATGTTTGCCGTTATTAACACCCATACAAGTTTGTTTATCGTCGGCAACGGTTTTGAATAAATGATATATCTATTCGGTTATATTATTATTATTATTTCGTAGCATAGAATCTACACTTAATTGTCGCCATCATCAGATAACATTGACAGAAAATCTGATAAACGAACAAGGACGCCTACATAATCTTCGAGGTCACCTCTGCTTTGTAGAATCTGTACAATTCCCAATTGCAAACGTAAGATGCCGTAAAAACTTTTTATCTACGATCCTATACTCGAATTTCTTACCACAGCATAGAAATCTTTATCAAAGTTACAATAGCCAAAATGTGCATAAAAAATATTTGGAATCGTATCAAAAATTGTTTGGAACTTGCCAAGAATCCTTTATACCATAAACCTCCTAAAGAATGATCCTTGACATATTCTACGCTTAGTAGACTCGGAAAAACCAGAAATTAATGAATATTTAAGTTTGTTTTACTTCATAATCATCAACTTTCCCAGGAGAGAAGTTTTAAACGAAAAAAAAAAACCATACACAAAACCAACAACCAACTCCCAAATGTATTGCAATACAGAATTCGCTTAACAGAACCTAACGCAAACACTCTATTACATTTTTAGAAGAAAAAGATGATAAAAAATTCATATTTTATTTTATTTAAACCACCAAAATTTCCGACAGCATCACCAGATGATGAATCATTAGCGAGTGATTCATCTTTCTACTGGAATCTCCACCCAGTACCGATCTACAACCACTGAATGCCCCGTTGAGAAAAATAGGAGGAACTTATACACGGTTTTCACAGTAGCGGGATCGGACCTGTACACATTAATAAAGCATCGATCGTACTTTTGAAGTACAGTCGACCTCGCCGGTGATGAACGATCGAGAAACGGAATAATGTCACGCCAACGGGTCGAAACTTTTCAATAACGTGCCCTATCCTATATTGGAAAAGGAAGTTACTAAGTAGATCAGAAAAAGGTGTTTCTTGTAAACCGTTATAATTTTATACTCGTTCGAGTACAGTGCGTGTATTTATATACTGTATATATATATATATATATTCTTCTTGACGTCATGAGCGAAGAAAGATTGAGAAAGAGATGAATAAAGGGACTCCACCCATGTCTGTACTGATCTAGTGGAGACAATTCTTCTAACGCGATCTGGGTGTACTTTTCCTTGTTCGATCGAATGTTTACTTCTACCGATTTTATTATTTAGAAGCTTATTTATACAGACCTTTTTTGCTTTTCCTGTTTTCCACTGTTCTGTTTTCACCTAAACATGGGCGTTTTTCTTATTGCTTCTGTGGTTACTGAAACATTTAAAAAAAAAAAAGAGTATATATTTAATAGTCATTAGTATGGATTTTCATTTATTTTTAAATTTCCGCCATTTTTTTTCATCCTTTAAAATGAACATATTTCCATTACAACGAAAGTTTTTTTCCGTGTTATTTTCCTACAAATTACAGACAGAATCGTGACTTTAAAAAGTTTAAATTTCCTTCCGACATTTTACAAATAAAAAAAAAAATGCTAATTTAAAAATTTAAATTTCGGGATTTCATAGGGAAATTCGCTTTTATTTTTTTATTTAAAAAGAAAAAAAAACAGTATAACTTCCTAAATTTAACGAAATTTCTTAGAAATTTCCTTTAAAAAAATCCATAAATTCTTAAATTAGCTTCCAAGCTATAATTTTTCCCCAACGTCCTTTAAACGAATAACGTATTTAAAATTCTCCCGTTTTATTTCCTTAAAATATAATTATACATATTTAAATATAACTTAATTAGTTTCGTAACGTAAAAAAATAATATGAAACATTTACAAAATTATAAGTTTCAGTTTAAGTAACTGGATATCAAACACATTGGTGGGCTCTTTAACTTTGATTTCCTAAAATTATCCCTAATCCCTGTTATCCCTTTTTTGAGGGGATTTAGATGGGGGGAAAACTTTAGGACTTAATATATCCCTATCGTTGGTGGATTTCTCAGTCAGAATAAAGAAAAGTGCAATAACTAATTCCAACTGGCTGACTACCATTAGGGATTATTATAGCTGTCAGTAGTGTATGTATGACTGTGATGCCATTGAATCATGACCTGTCATTGCCAGCCATCTCTCTTCAATTTGGCATACTTCCAACGTTTATATACTCATTAGCATATTCGCTTAGATAAAATTAAACCAACAATTTCTCTTATTTAATAATTTAAAAAGGCAAATAGCAAAAATATATTTTCCAAAATAAATAATAAAAATGAATTATGTTAATCAACTTATATTACTGTAATAGAATAAGTTCTTTATAAATAAAAAAAAAGAAAAAAAGGAGAAAATTATTCCTATTTCGACTCTGGATCGAAATTTCAATAACTCTAGAATAACAAAAAAATTACACTTTACTTCCCCAATAATTGCTTCATTCGATAAAAACATCACAAATCGGTTTGCCAATATTTCCTTTCTATCCCCCTTTAAATAGGGGTAATTCTTGCAGAGAATTGGTAAGTTGCTCTGATTTTTCCCTCTCTTAATCTTTGACTCTTAGAAAAATCGGGGGAATATACTCACTTGAGATATGTCTTTGGAATTTTTCCAAATTCTACATATTTTTCAAAAAATATGTTTATTTTTTCTTCTGTTTCTTAGAGATCTCAATAAAGATTTTTGACATTTGATTGTGTTAGACAAGAGAAACCATCTCGTTTAGAAATTGATGCAAATAAATTTCTTAGATAAAGCAGAAATTCTTTTTTAAAAAAAAAATTCCCTAAATTATAGCGTTTTCTTACAAATTGAGAGAACACAATTCGTTTTTATGAAAATATAAATAGGAAATTGAATTTTAAAAAATCTTGTTAAATTAGCTAAGCATTCTCTAATGTAGTGGTACTCAAACGGTGGTGCCCGTATCCCTAGGGGTATGCAAGAAAGATGGGTTAGTTCTAGAAGACTCTAGTGAATGAAAAAGATTAAAAATTGCTGCCCTAATGAATTATTTAGAAATCTATAATTATTTTTAATGTCTTCTTTAGATGAGAAATATCTTGTTTATAAATTAATACAAATAAATTTCTTATAAGAAAATCCCTGCGTTACATATCACCTTTAAAAATTCACTAAATTATTCCTAAATGTTGGATTTCCCATTGATTTAAAATAAGTGCAAAATGAAGGAATTTTGATCACAATTTGTTTTTAAGAAAATTATTAAATTTCAGAAAAAGTCTTGCTTTACAGAATTTCAAATTTACATTTTAAAAAATTTAAAATTTATTTTTACATATACAATATCCCTGAAAAAAAAATCTTTAAATAACAATATCTATACTTCTATTAATTTGATGACCTAAAGTATTATGATCATAAAATATGTTTGTTTTTTTTATTCATAATTTTTAAAAACATGACTACCTCATTAGCCATAATTGTAATAATATACTTTAAATATATTTTGTATAAGTAAAGGTGTGTGTTGCCTGTAACCAGGTAACAGATTTGGCGTGCTATTTTTGTTCGATATACACTTCGACTCTATCAACAAAGTTGTGTAGACTTCTAAATAACCATGTCAACAACACTGATGTTAAAAATTGATTTAGTAATTTTCGCTGTAAAGCATTGCTACTTCAACTTTTAGTGTTTCATTTTCCTATTCTAAAAATAAAATATTTATAAATTTGCAATAGGTTTTTTCCCCTTCCTTTATATTATTTTTATTTTCCATTTTTGGACTGGCATAATCTTAAAATTTAAATAAAATAATAGTAAAAAAGATATATAAAGTTATAAAAGTTAAGAACCAATGACCGAATATAAATTTTTCTTCTTTTTTTCTTTCCTACTTTTTGAAAGTGGAATTGAATTCGGTTAGCTGAGGAATATAAAAGAAAACTGAGAGATTTCTGAAGTTGGAAGAATGCCATAAAGTCAGATATAAATAAATGACTATTTGTTTCAGTGATGAAGAAACTTTATGTACTAATTTACTCTATGGTTTGTTTGGAAATCCTTCTAACTTCTTCAGCTTCATTATGCCATGTTCTTTGTTTTTACTGCTAAATTTATATTTCTTATAACTTTTTAACCCTCCGATACATTTTTAATTCTTGAATTTCTAAGATTCTTCAAATATAACTCTATCTTTTCAAAATCTAGACAAGTTTTTTTCCCGTAACACTGCTGTCTTTTTTCAATAGTGATATCAAGAATCTTGAAATGTCTTTGAAAGTTTTCTTCTGTGACTTTCTTTAGCTATCTTATTTATAAGATATAATAGTGACCAATGAATTGATAGAAGATTATTGACAATTTTATTTTTCAAATACTGTATTCTTCTGTGATATATTTTTAAAAAAAAATTTTATACTCAAGAAAATGAACAATAAAAAAAAACACCGTTTTTGTAAGTTATTTTTCAATATAAACTATAATGATTTATATTCTTTCTCAAGTTTCAAAGGACATTATTCATATTTCTTAGAAAATATTTTAATAAAAGATACCTTAGCATCCTTATATAATCCTAGAATAAAAAGAAAATAACATTCTAATTACAATGAGGTTATATTTCTTGATTCATATTCTAATTTCCCTTCATGAATATTTGAATATCAAGAAAAAATAATAATAAATGTAAACATTAGTGAAAATGTAAAAATCAGTAACAGTAATTTACTATTATTTGCGGTTATCGGACATCATGCAACTATACTTCCTTTAGAATTTTACATATTTTACAAATCATAATTTATGAATTTCTTCTTTCTGATTTATTACGATAACAAAGATCAGATAAAGTCTAATAAATTAAATTTTAATTCTTAAAAACTATCATTCATATATTAATGAAATAAAAACTTAATTAGACAAAATGATAAATGACAATAAACCATGCCAGAATCTATTCATATATCGTTCTAAGAATTTTTTTTTCTTTTTTGACATTTAAAATTTACTCAAACTTTGCATTTACTAAATTCTAAAAATGTTTTAAAATTATTTTTTTTATATTTCAATCCTCTTCTTTACTATAGAAATATAGAAACACAGGTATTATTATAGAAGTTTTCTCTAGAAATGTTGCGTGTACAGCTATATATATATATAGATAACTTTTTTTATTCTACTTGAAGTTGACATATCTCTTGAAATATGCAGATTATGATAAAAATGGATAATATGAATAATCTTTTAAAATTCACTTTTTATAAATTCCTTATTTTTGAGCATTTTTTGAAACAATAACACAATTTCATTTTTGATATGAATGGCACAATTTCCACGTTTGTTTTAAAGCAGAGTACTAGAATAAATTTAGATATAACAGATAATTATCTTATGAATAAAAGTATATAATAATGTATTTTGTAATATTGCATACATATGTTTTAACAATAGAAATTTTCTCCAAAAATTAGCTTTATAGATAGGTCATCCGATAAACTTTTATCGTTGATCGTGTAGATAAACCCGCTAGTATAAAAATTAATTTTTGCCTTAAGATAAAAGTATTTTCATTCTGTATTATTAATTAGCAATCAGAATTTCTTAATTGTATTGTATGTAAAAAATTAAAATAATAAAATCGTAACATAATTAAAAAAAACACACATTAGATTTTATATCTGAAAACAAATTACTGTTACTTATAATAATAATATTAAAAAAGACTTAAAATTTAATTATGAAAACAGTACTAGAATTTATTAAAATTAAAAGAATGAAAAGCATTTAAATTTCTTCTTTCATTCTTTTTTTTTGTTGGGGTTGAATGAAAATAACTTTCTAGTCAGAACTTAATTCTTTGAATTATTTTGTAAGAGAATAAAAAACAACTTTGTTATGTACGCTTATATATATATATATATAAATACAAAATAATTTTCTTCTAAAAACATGACTTTTTGTAAGATTCTTTTCTGTTATTTATTAAGACTGTTGACCTAAGTTTCACACTTTTCTAAATTCCTTCTTTAAACAACGAATTTAAATAATATTTATTTAAAAATAGAATTTAAAAAAAGAATACTTTTCTCTTCTTTCTTTCTTTAACAATATTCAATTAAAAATTTATAAATTTAAATTGGAAATGATGATAATACAAAATTAAAAATATAATAACTATTTTAAAAATAACCACATAATTACCATTAAGAGTTCAAAAATATTTTAAAAATACATTAAAATAATTTGTTTATTTATTAACACAAATAAATGATTCAATAAAATGCAATTAATTAATAAACAAGTTAATAACATTACAGCAGAAATTTTATTTTAGTAATGGACTTATCTCATTTATATTCTTGCATGCAAAAAAATAAAAGTATGTATTATTTAACATGCCTCATTACATTATGTGATAATGATTTATCCTGGGACAAACAACAATAAATTTTCTATTCATTATCTATAATTGATATAAAATATTCATTAAAGGGCCACTGTAGTGATATGTTTGTAAGTCTTATTCATTATCTATTTTTGTTTTTATAATATTAGATTTTAAAGAACATATATGTAATGTAATCTATCTAATATTATTCATTATATTAAGTACAAAAAATTATCGAGTACTTGACGTCCTTGACATGTTTTACTTTGAATATAATTTATTTTATCAAGAAAAAATTTTCTGTGCAGCATGAATGTATGTGAGAACTCGTTTGCTTTCTAACAACAATTAAACTTATTTCATCCAGTTCGCTGTTAGTAAAATGAATTATGCACATAAAATAATTTCCTTTATTAAATTTATAATTTTAATAATTTAGTATTCTAGTTGAAAAAAAATTTAATGCAGCAGAGATAAATGATTATTTTGCTTTAATTTAAAATTTCTGTGTTTAAAATGTGTTTATTTAAATGCATTTTATTACAGTGATCTAGATTAAGCATGTCAAAGAATGGCCTACTTTTAAAAAAAGAAATCATTTGATATATCAAGCAAAGAATATAAAGGGTAAAATATTCATAAATTATAGAAATACAGTATGTATTTTTGAAAGTTTAATAATTTTAATTTTTACTTTTTTTATATGTAGATAAATAAGAATACACATATTTAATTTTTTTCATTGTTTTAAAGTCTATTTAGAAAGCTTATCTGCAAATGAAAATGTATACAAAATTTATAACTTAATGACTACATTGTCCCATCAGCAAAAAGATAATCATTCTTGAATGACATGAGAATACAATTCATTAGCACATCCAATCATATTTTGATAAAATATTTATGATAAAAAAAAAGTGACTGACTTACATATATTAAATTAAAAACAAATTTTTCTTAGTATCATAAATCATTAATTTTTAACACGTCAAAAGATAACGGAATACAATACCAAAAGATCGAAGTTTCTTGTATAAGAAGTTAAAAGTCAAAAACTTTTAACAATAAAACTTAATGTCCATTTTAAAAAATGATGATGGAAATTTTGTTATTTTTAAAACACCTGCAGCTATCTCAATAAGTAATTATTTAAAAAAAAAAAAAACAATACAAAGAGATAAGAAATGCTAAATAAAGCTATTGTTTAAATTCTGTTTCAAATATTTTAAAAATAAAATATTTCAATTAAATATTTTTAAAGCGCTTGCCCCTGTAAATCCATTTTCACCTCNTAATTTTGTTACCTGTGTGAATTTGCATCCAACTTAACAAAGCAGTCTTCAAAGTTAATGTAATGATGAATAAAAGGTAAATGATTAATAACTAAGATAAATATAATAAAAATATACGAAAAATAATTTAATTATTTATAATTATTTTTTCGTACAGTTATAAATAGAATGGAAAATTATCCAGTAAATTGTTTTATTATTTATTTTGAATGAATGGTAATAAATAATTGTAAATTTAGATTTTGAAAGGAGTCGTTTAAAGAGACGAAACGAAATGACGTCATGCGAATCTTATTCTATACCTTTATGACGTAATACTGCACTTGTGTACTAAAAATGTCCACGTGTTATTTACAAGAACTATGAAGCTGGATGTTTTGAAGATAAACACCTATTTAAGGAGAAGATTGATTGATCCTATTAGGAAAGAGGAAAACATGGAATCCTCCTATGTTCCTCTTCCTTCTCCTTTCCTTTATTTGATAATCAATATATAGGTTTGTATCTGTTCTTATATTGTTTATTTTAACAAGATGGTAATTTCTAATCTGTAATATTTTTGATAGTTTCAATATTTTGTTTGCATGGAGAGGCATCTGGGTTGGAATTTATTATTTTGGTAAGTATTTATAGCTTTATATGTTTTCTCTTAATGGCTTTAATATATAATAATTGCAAATCTTATTCTTTTAACTTTTATAAACAAAAGTTTAGATTGTGTTTATGTAATTACTAATTAATATAAACATTGATGCATTGTTTATCATTGTTTTATGACTTGAAAACAGTATGATTATTTATTTTATTTTTATTAACCAATGACTTAATTTGGACAGTGTGCTTAGTTCAAATTTTGAGTTTATAAGAAGAATTTTTAAGTACTATTTTTAAAATTACAGAGAAATCCATTTCAAAAGTTGTAATGAGAAATAAAATTACAGCTAAATTAAGACATCTGAAAACTTTTAATAGCCAAGAAATGTTTTCAGACTATTTTATGGGCCTGACTTTAGCTCTTATGTGTTTTGGAATTGAATTTCGGAGTCACATGTTATTCCAGAAATAGTTTAATTTAAGATGTTGAATTTAAAAAATGATAATAAAGTAAGATGAAACTTTTGTACTGTGCAAAGAAGTTTTTAATGCTTGTGATGATGCTGCATCTAATAAGTTACAAAATTTTTTGTTAAATTAACACCTATATCTGAAAATAAAGTGAAGTATTATGTAAACAAATCACCCACTGGGTAACTAATTTAGAGCAGCAAAAACTTTTAATAACTAATGTTTTTGGATATATTTAATGACAGTCCTCAGGAACATGAGATCATTAAATGTGATTGTTATCCTCAGGTCCTTGAGGATAATTACCATCCTCAGGAACATGAGATGGTCATTAAATATGATTGAAATGTTAGTTATTAAAAGGTTATGCTGCTCTAAAAGGTTGAGTGAAGTATGGTGTAGTTATCAGAAACCATGAACTATGGATTAGGGAATCATTTTAGTATCTTGGTGCAACATTTCTGTAGAGTCCATTAGCAAAGTCCAAGTTGTGTAGAGATGTTCAGCATTATGTAGTTGTTCATATTGCTTTGTTTGGAAAACAAAGTAATATGTAGACTTGTTCTAGCAGTCTAAGAATCAATTCTGTGTTACATTCTGTAATCTATAACAGAAATTTTCAATATACCATAATCTTGCATCTTTATATACAGGATATATGTATATTTAGATTATATAACTGTAAATATACATTTTATACATTAAATATATAGTAAATCAATTGAAAACTCATTTAGAAAAATAATCTTACCATATATCATAATGATTTAACTTTTCCAATATGTGCTTTACATGTTCCTATGCTAAAGTCATTGCTTAGATTCTCTGGAAGAGAAATTTACCGCAACATAACGACCTACATTCCTCCTAACTAAACTTGACTTTCTCTTGACAACATCAACCAGAACACGCTTACCGATCAATTTCTATGGCTCAAGCGCCATCTACAGAGCGTGAAAGGTTAAAATATATAAATAAATATATTAATAATAATCATAAAATCGATTTTATTTAAAAAAAAAAAACTATTGTTTATTTCAGTAAAGTTAATAATAAAAATAAAACAAAACAAGCTTTATTGTCAAGGTAACTTATTTAAGTTACGTCGGTGATAGTTCTCCGATAATATACAGTATTCGATATATCACGTGATTACAGAATTTAATCTAAAATTAAATTTAAAATAAAAACTAAAAAAAAAAATGCAATTGGAGAAAAACAGAATTTGAAAAAATTAAAAAAGAAATAATGAATAAATAATTATTAAATACCACATGCTATTTGTTTATTTATCCTAACGTATTTTAAAAGAAATTTTTTTCGTCTCCATCTTTTGGTAAGTTTTTGTACTATTTTAAATGAATTTTTTTAAAATTAAAATTAAAGCAAAAAAGTAATTAATCTTAATTAATTATTAATTTTTTTGAAAGAATTATACGAATATTTAATTAATANTCTTTAATATATATATATATATATATATATTAAAGATATATCCAGGAAACTTATCTGCACGTAATTTTAACGTTAATTTTAATTTTAAACGACATCTTTTATAGTTAAAAATCGATTTTTTTTTCTTCACTCTAACTGTAAAAATATATCAAATTGTGAGTAATGACAGAACGGAAAAAAATTATAAGCTACGGAATTGGCACATAAAAGACTCTCATCTTTGCCAAATTTTATTTCGATTTGGTAAAAATCATTATAAATTGAAGATTTTTTATTTATTTATTTATTTAAATAAAAGGTTTAGAAATCCTTTCAATGTAGAATAATTTATTGACATTATCATCGTTTCTAAAAATAAATTTCATTTTTAAATATTTATAAAATAATATACATTTTGTATATAAATTAAATAATTTTATATATAATTCTAATTATTTTTCTCACACAACTTTTTCTTGTGACAGAAATTTATGGTGACATTTATTCAATTAAATAAATGACAAGACTATAAATAAACTATAGATAACGATTAGAATTACATAAATTAAATATTTTTATCGCTTTTTTTTTTGTATTAGTTTTTCTTCTTCACATTTACACTTGTTTAATTTATTATATAATGTTCTTGATGTACCGTACTTTTGTAAATTAATTTTTCTATATTATATTTAAACATTAAAAAAAATAATGCGAGGTATTTATTTCCGATATTGTTTTATATAAATATATATAAACTACGTGTTATGTTATTTAAAAATTGTTTTATTTTCAAGTACAGTATTTAAATTTTTAAAATATAATCGCTCTTAACGTCTATTGGTTATTGAAATTTCAAATATTTAAAACGATTTCTCTAACGGATATCTGATTGGTTGATATCAATTTTTAATTATTTTTGGTTAATTATAAATTATTGTTCTTATTATAATTTTTAAAAATAATAATAATAACTAAGATAAATATAATAAAAATATACGAAAAATAATTTAATTATTTATAATTATTTTTTCGTACAGTTATAAATAGAATGGAAAATTATCCAGTAAATTGTTTTATTATTTATTTTGAATGAATGGTAATAAATAATTGTAAATTTAGATTTTGAAAGGAGTCGTTTAAAGAGACGAAACGAAATGACGTCATGCGAATCTTATTCTATACCTTTATGACGTAATACTGCACTTGTGTACTAAAAATGTCCACGTGTTATTTACAAGAACTATGAAGCTGGATGTTTTGAAGATAAACACCTATTTAAGGAGAAGATTGATTGATCCTATTAGGAAAGAGGAAAACATGGAATCCTCCTATGTTCCTCTTCCTTCTCCTTTCCTTTATTTGATAATCAATATATAGGTTTGTATCTGTTCTTATATTGTTTATTTTAACAAGATGGTAATTTCTAATCTGTAATATTTTTGATAGTTTCAATATTTTGTTTGCATGGAGAGGCATCTGGGTTGGAATTTATTATTTTGGTAAGTATTTATAGCTTTATATGTTTTCTCTTAATGGCTTTAATATATAATAATTGCAAATGTTATTCTTTTAACTTTTATAAACAAAAGTTTAGATTGTGTTTATGTAATTACTAATTAATATAAACATTGATGCATTGTTTATCATTGTTTTATGACTTGAAAACAGTATGATTATTTATTTTATTTTTATTAACCAATGACTTAATTTGGACAGTGTGCTTAGTTCAAATTTTGAGTTTATAAGAAGAATTTTTAAGTACTATTTTTAAAATTACAGAGAAATCCATTTCAAAAGTTGTAATGAGAAATAAAATTACAGCTAAATTAAGACATCTGAAAACTTTTAATAGCCAAGAAATGTTTTCAGACTATTTTATGGGCCTGACTTTAGCTCTTATGTGTTTTGGAATTGAATTTCGGAGTCACATGTTATTCCAGAAATAGTTTAATTTAAGATGTTGAATTTAAAAAATGATAATAAAGTAAGATGAAACTTTTGTACTGTGCAAAGAAGTTTTTAATGCTTGTGATGATGCTGCATCTAATAAGTTACAAAATTTTTTGTTAAATTAACACCTATATCTGAAAATAAAGTGAAGTATTATGTAAACAAATCACCCACTGGGTAACTAATTTAGAGCAGCAAAAACTTTTAATAACTAATGTTTTTGGATATATTTAATGACAGTCCTCAGGAACATGAGATCATTAAATGTGATTGTTATCCTCAGGTCCTTGAGGATAATTACCATCCTCAGGAACATGAGATGGTCATTAAATATGATTGAAATGTTAGTTATTAAAAGGTTATGCTGCTCTAAAAGGTTGAGTGAAGTATGGTAAAGTTATCAGAAACCATGAACTATGGATTAGGGAATCATTTTAGTATCTTGGTGCAACATTTCTGTAGAGTCCATTAGCAAAGTCCAAGTTGTGTAGAGATGTTCAGCATTATGTAGTTGTTCATATTGCTTTGTTTGGAAAACAAAGTAATATGTAGACTTGTTCTAGCAGTCTAAGAATCAATTCTGTGTTACATTCTGTAATCTATAACAGAAATTTTCAATATACCATAATCTTGGAATATATAACCTTAGAATCATAGGACTGTTGAACAAAAATGAAGAGTTTGTGATTGAGTATTATACAAACATCACTCAATTATACAAATTTTTATGATATTCATTTCAGGCAATGATCATTTTATAACATTTTTTATCTCTTAAAATGTTTGATTACTTAATAAGTACTGTTCATTCTTAATGCCATAATTACATTCTTTTTTTACAATAATTTCTCAACAATTTTTAATAATTGACAAGAATATTTTTACAATTTTTGTAGATAATTATTTCTTTCTTTAATGATGATGATCTTAAAAGAGCTCTTAAAATTTTAAAAGAGCTTGCATTTCTGCCATTTAGATCCTGTTGCTGTGATTCAAACTCATTTACTGTCACTTCCATAAGGATTTGATTTGATGAAAATAAAAGATATAAAAACCAGTGTGATTATTTAATTTATAATTATGGTTATTATTTTTTAGTGAATTTATTGTAAGCAATGATTTAAATAAAATTAGTATTTTTCTTTTAAAAATTATTTATACAGATTTTTT